GCAGACACCCCTGCCTCCAGGATGCCCTCTTTCCTTGCTCCAGGCTGGTTACACGCCATCCATTCTGCAGGACCCGTAAAGTGCTGTGCCCTCTGCTGGTCACATTGAACAGAAAGTAGCCCCATTGCTCAGCAACCCCCAGATTTGAGTCCTGTACTCACTCTAGACCATAAAATCCCTTCACACAGATTTGGAAAAGATGTCCCTTCCTCTGAGTGGACATGGGCCCAAAGACAGGGTGCAGGCTCTGATTTCAGCCCCACTTGTCCCCTCAGCCATGCAACTTTGGCAGTGAACACCCTCCGTGCCCATATGTGCTAGCCTTGAGTTGATTTACCATTTCAAGAAGATCTGAGACTTCCCCCGCCTGCCCCCACCCAGGAACTTGGAGGATCCCTGCAACTAGCCTGGGAAGTTAGGATATAATATGCATTGTCATTTTAAGAATGGGGAAACCGAGGCACAAAGCCGTTAACGACGTGCATAGGGCTTGCAGCTGGCGTGGAGTCCAGGTCTTCTTGCTCTAGTTCAGTTTTCCCCACTGTATTGCTGAGTAGGTTTTCTGACCCTGAAGTCAAACATCTCAGTTTCCTGCTAGCTTAGGGCTGCGTGGGCTGCAAAGATGAGGTTCCTGTACAGCTTTCCTGGAAGCCAGCATTTCCCAGCAAACTGGGGAGGAGAAAAGCCGCCACTGGGAGGTGGCACTTTTCTCTCCAAGGCCCTGCTCCACGTGACCTTCCTGTGACGGTAGGGCCTGCTGCCAGCCACAGCTGCTCCCTCTCCTCCACCTGATGATCCTTCTTAGCAGGAGGCATCTGAGTCCTGGATCCCGGCCAGCTGAGCGGGTACCTGGCAACCAGACTCACAAATGTGTGCCTGGCTTTGCAGACACGGCCTCGGGCCTGCTGGGGGCGGGGGGGCAGGCTCATCTGTGAGTGTATGTGGGGTGAGGGAAGGGGTGTCTACTCTGCACCCAGGGGACCCCCCCCCCAACTGCTCCTCTGGCTGTCCCCTGCCCCCGGGTTTCTGTTTCTCTCTATCCACCTCATCTGTGGGTCTGGACCCTGACAGAAGAAACTTGCTTATTCCTGAGGAGAAGGCGGTACACCCCATTAAGGGGTTGTGGGGCCATCCAAGGCCAGGCCTCTTCAGTGTCAGTTTGGGACATTTCATGGCAGGTAGGACATTGTGCCCAGCCATCATGGGAGGGCCAAGGGGATGGGAAGGCACAGGGCCAGGCATGCCCGGTCTCTCTGTGAAAACCCTGGGTGGCTTCTCCCAGCACTGCTGGCCCAGTCCCACCCACAGGCTGTGAAGTGTAAAAGCACAGGAAGGAGGGAGCCAGCCGGCCATGGGGAGAGGGACAAATGCCAGGGAGGAGACACAGACAGACCCTGTCACACATCACGGCCTGTGGCCAGGTCACCCTTGGACACACACACGCCCAGCTCTGGACTCCTCAGCCCTCGCTTGGGGCTGCGGAGATGCCCGGGCTCATCAGTTGCATCCTGGGCCCGGCAGTCAGATTACAATGGCCACTGCCTCAGGCAGGGTCCCCAGGAACTGGGGTTTGACAGCCAAGGCTTGTCCGACTTTGGTTTTCTACAGATACGTCACTTGGGATGCGGCATGAGGGCAGGATAGAGAGCCACAGGTTGAGGGTCAGACTCATTTTGCTGGCATGAACTGGGCAGGACAAGTCAACCCTTGCTATAGACTAAATAGTGTCCCTCCAAAAATGTGTATGTCGCAGCCCTAACCCCCAGCACCCCAGGGCATGCGCGCGCGTGTGCCTGCCCTGAGGCTAATGCTGGGGTCCACCTGTCAGGAGAGGCCAGGGAGCCCTCGTGAGCCCCCAGAGAGCAAGAGAGGGGTTACCTGGAGCCTTTTCATCTGGATGCCTCTGTCCCCAGGGAGCTGTGATTGAGAAAATGGGAAGGTGACTGCGTTTGGAGACAGAGCTTTTGAAGAGATGATTAAAGTTAGGCCGGGCACAGTGGCTCATGCCCATAACCCCAGCATTTTGGGAGGCCGAGGCAACGGATCACTCAAGGTCAGCAGTCCAAGACCAGCCCAGCCAACATGGCAAAACTCCATCTCTACTAAAAGCAAAAAAATCAGCTGGGCATGGTGCTGGGCACCTATAATCCCAGCTACTCTGGAGGCTGAGGCAGGAGAATTGCTTGAACCCGGGAGGCAAAGGTTACAGTGAGCCGAGATCATGCCACTGCACTCCAGCCTGGCAACAGAGCGAGACTCTGTCTCAGAAAAAAATAAAATAAAACAAAAAAAGAATAAATAAATAAAAAAAGTTAAATAAGGCCATTCAGGTGGGCCCTAATCCAATACAACTGATGTCCTTATAAGAAGAGACACCAGGGATGTGTGACCAGGGAGGAGACTGAGTGAGGGCGCTGAGAGAAGGTGGCCTCTGCCAGCTCAGGAGGGAGGTCTCAGGAAAAACCAACCCTGCAACACCTTGGTCTTGAACTTCCAGCCTTCCGAACTGTGAGAAAATGAGTGTCTGTTAAGCTCCCCATTCTGTGGCACTTTGCTGTGGCAGCCCTAACAGACCAATACATCTTTCTTTGGGCCTTTATGGCTTCATCCATAAATACGTCCCTTTAAGAGGCTGTTTCGTGGATTAAATAAAATGATGCAGGGGAATCACTAACCAGTGCCAGGTACTCCTGAAGCTCACATTATGTTGTCTCCTGGCTTTGGGTCAGGCCCCCCAGTTTTCCCAGTCACAGCTCCCTGGGGGCACAGGCATCCAGATGGCAAGTGCTCCAGGTAACCCCTCTCCTGCTCTCTGGGGGCTCACGGGGACTCGCCAGCCTCTCCTGAAAGGTGGATTCCAGCATTGGCCTCAGAATGGAGGGCCTGGCCCACACGTGCAAACACACATTGACACACACGCATGCACACATACACATGTTCTTACAGCGACTCCCTCAGTCCAGGCCACTGGCAAGCTCCATCCCATTCCTGGGAAGCAGGCATCAGAACCCAGAGCAGGCATCAGAACCCCAGCTCCACCCCAAGCCCGGGCCATACCTGGCCCACAGGGTGGTTGGGGAAACAGAACCCCCTAACCTCTCCCACCAGGCTTATGAGCCTGAAGATGGATTTTGAAGAATGTATGGGCATCTGTCAGCATCTGTGAGATTGCACGGGCCTAGCGAGTGGCAGGGTGCTGATGGCCTGAGAGCTGAGGCACGAGGCTGTGTTGCCTAGGCCAGCCCAGGACCAACGGGAGCTTGGAAGCAGAGGAAGAGAATGGTGTCTGCATTGGCAGGGATTGGGGTGAGGGTGGTGGGGGGCAATCTGGGATCATGGCTGGGTGCCCTCGCTGTCTGGGTATTTGCCTTTTATTCAACATCAGTGACACCAACCTCCAGGACCAGGCTGCATCTGGGAGTACCCCTTGCAGCTCCCATCGTGCTGGCCCAGGTCCAGTCTAACAGGTGTTTGTTGACTGGATGAGTGAACTGGTTGGTGCCCAGGAATTTAACTCAGCCCATTCCAGTTGCCATTCCCTGGATGCCCAGCTCAGGACCACTCATGCTGTGGCTCTGCATGAGTTCTGTGCAGGTTCCCAGGGCCTAGCAAGGTGCTGACATGTGGAAAGCACTCATGAATACCTATTTCCAATCAATGCTGAGGACAGACACAAATGGTGCAAATCTGGTGGAGAAAACAGAGGCCTCAGCCGGGTGTGGTGGCGCATGCCTGTAATCCCAGCACTTTGGGAGGCCAAGGCGGCCGGATCACTTGAGGTCAGGAGTTTGAGACCAGCTTGGCCAATATGGCAAAACTCCATCTCTACTAAAAATACAAAATTAGCCAGGGGTGGTGGCAGGCCTCTAATCCCAGTTACTCGAGAAGCTGAGGCACGAGAATTGCTTGAACTCAGGAGGCAGAAGTTGCACAGCGAGCTGAGATTGAGCCACTGCACTCCAGCCTGGGTGATAGAGCAAGACTCTGTCAAAAAAAAAAAAAAAAAAAAAAAAAAGCTGGGCGCGGTGGCTCAAGCCTGTAATCCCAGGACTTTGGGAGGCTGAGGCGGGCGGATCACGAGGTCAGGAGATTGAGACCATTCCAGCTAATACAGTGAAACCCCGTCTCTACTGAAAATACAAAAAATTAGCCAGGTGTGGTGGCGGGCGCCTGTAGTCCCAGCTACTCGGGAGGCTGAGACAGGAGAATGGCATGAACCCGGGAGGTGGAGATTGCAGTGAGCCAAGATCGCACCACTGCACTCCAGCCTGGGCGACAGGGCAAGACTCCGTCTTAAAAAAAAAAAAAAAAGAAGAAAGCAGAGGCATCGGTAGATAGTAAAATTTGATGGTCTCTCTTGTGAGACAGACAAGTCCAAGTCCAGAGGGCTGTGGGAGCACGGTTGGGCCAGACAGACCATGGGAGGACTGTCTGGTCCAACCTGGGGAATTAGGAAAGGCTTCCTACCAGCCTGGGCAACATGGTGAAACCCTGTCTCTACAAAAAATACCAAAAATTAGCCAGGTGTGGTGGTACCTGCCTGTAGTCCCAGCTACTTGGGGGGCTGAGGTGGGAGGACCTCCTGAGCCCAGGAGGTTGAGGCTGCAGTGAGCTCTGATCACACCACTGTACTCCCACCAGGGCAGCAGAATGAGACGAGACCCCATCTCGGGGAGAAAAAAAAAAAAAAGGCTTCCTGGAGGAGGATGTATAGGAGCTGACCAGGCAAAGACTACAGGGAATGGCATCTCTGGGAGAGGTGACAGATGGTTCTGATCCTAAGCTGGGAACGATGGGAACTAAGGATGGTGGGAGGCTGAGGGGCAGACAGGGCCCAGGGTCCCAAGGGCTGAGGGTGGCTAAGAGTATGCCACAGGTTCTGGCAGAGGACAGGATCCCCATGGCAAAGAGAGGGTCTTCTGAAGCCACCTGGGAAGGAGGTGAGGCTGTGAATGCAGGGCTGGCTGTGCAGAGCTCCAGACCCTTCAGAAAAGGAAATGTCATTTTCAAAAGGGATTTTTATTAAATTCTCCCCACACAATGGCTCCTGCAATCTGCCACAGCTCTGGAGCGTGTCCTGTAGGGAAAGGCCCTGTTTTCCCTGAGGCGGGGCTGGGCTTGTCCATGGGTCCATGGAGCTGGCCCTGCTTGGCGCCCTGACGTGTGTCTGGCTACTTCTTGGGGGGCACAGAGCTGCGGGGTCTGGGGGCACTGGGAGCTAAGGACAGGCTCTGGTGCAGGGGTGGAGGCCTGTCTCTTAACCCACACCCTGAGGTGCTCCTGAGATGCTGGGTCCACCCTGAGGGGTGCGGGGAGCAGCTGTGGCCAGTGCCCCTTCCTCGGCCAGTCCTGGGGAAACTAAGCCCGGGCCGTCTTTGCAAAGACCGAGGATGGGGTGGGTGTGGGGGACTCATGGGGAATGGCCTGAGGAGCTGCGTGTGAAGAGGGCGCGGGTTTGTTGGCTGCAGCGGCCTGGAGCGCCTCTCTCCTCTCTGAGTCTGTTTCCCTTTCTGTCTCATGAAGAACATGGCCTCTCAGTGTCTCAGTGCTATGACTTGCCCTCAGGAAGTGGTCTTGGCCGCGCATCATGTTATTTTCACAACTGTCCTGCGACGTTGGCCTGGGCACGTCATGGAATGGCCCATATCCCTGTGCTGCGTGGACGTCGCTGTCGGGAGTGCGCAGCCAGAGCCGGAGCCAGATGTGCGCCTGGGGGTGAGGGAAGGCGCCCCGGGAGGGACTCACAGGAAGTTGGGCTCCCGCACCACCAGGTAGGGTGGGCTCCAGCCGCCGCCGCCACCGTCCAGGGGCCGGTAGACAAAATGGAAGTCGCGCTTGGGCTCGCTGCGCAGCAGGTAGCCCTTGATGCGGTGCGGCAGCGCGTCGTCCGCCAGCTGGAAGCAGCGCCCGTCCACCAGCACGAACAGCCGGTGCGCCTGCGGCCGAGCCACCGCGAACTTCTCCGCGCACTGCTCGCACAGCGCCTGGGCTGGGGTGTCCGCCCGCGACGCCAGCGTCCGCGCCTGCTGCTCGGGCTCCAGGTACGACACGCAGATGAAGTCCTGCGGAGACACGCGGGGCCTGCGGTCACGGCGGGGCCCTGTGTCCCCAGGCACCCTCTTCCGGCCCAGGCCCCTCCCTGGATGGATAACGGGTGGCGGGCGCCGAAGGGGCTGTGAGTCTGGCACCTGCGCCTTTCCAGTCTCTGCCGTGAGCCTGCAGAGGCTTCCCTGCCTGGCTTCCCAGCTGGGCCGAACGTTCTGGGAGATGAATGAAGAGGCGACTTGGGATCCCTCCAACAAGGAGCCAGCGCGCCCCCTGGCTGCTGGTCCACAGGCTCCCCACCATTCATTCACTCATACATTCCCTCCCCCACTCCAGGTGAGTTCCCTGCACCCCAGGCGCAATGCTGGGCACAGAAGGCAGCACAGACAAAAAGGGAGACGCGAGCCCCCCCCCCCGCCGGGCATCCCATAGTGCGGGCGGGCAGCACAGTCCAGCCCCGTAGGGCTGCAAGAACCCTGGGGCTCTGAGGAGCTGCGTGGGGTAGGGCTTGGTAAAGCGGGAGGGGACCGGGTGAAGGAGGCTGGGCGCAGTCGGGTGGGGAAGGCCCCACCCATAGTGCAGGGCGGGCAGGCCGAGGCGATGCCTGCGGGCTGGGGCTGGGCACTCACAGCACGAGCAGGGCGCCCGCCCGCCGTCCTCCACCCCTGGGGACCCAGCCCCACACCTGCCGGGCTTTGAATCCGCTCCCACTGCCTGTGTGGTCTTGGTTCCTCGAGCCTCGGCTGTAAAGTGGGGATAGCGCCCGCCTACCAGAAATGGGTGAGCAGGTGCTGGAAGCTCCAGCCCGGAGCAGCCTCGCCTTCCCCGGGGCTCAGGGCTGCAGGCAGGGACGCTGCGCGCGGGGCTGCCCCCTTGTGGCCGTCTTGGGAACAGCAGACTTGCACGGGAAGCGGCTGAGGATCCAGCATCGCAGAGACCGTGATGGCCAATGGTGGCTAGGGCTTAGGCGGGGCCGGGCTCCTGTCAAGAGCTTCACGGGGACCGCCCATTTCTTCCAGGAGGGGAAAAGCCCGGCCCACTCCCTCCGTCTTAGTGGCTACCTTAGGGCTCCTTGTCCTCCATTAGGCCTCCCAGGGCACTATCCACCTGCTGGTGACTCTCCGGCTCTGGGCTTCCCTCCCCAGGGAAGGGTGCCCACCCCTCAAGGCATGGGGTGCAGAGGAGGCACTGGGAGGGGGCAGAGGGTAGTGCCCTCCCCAGATCCCAGATGTGGTGCTGAGGGTCCCCCCCAAAGCTTCCGTCTCCCCAACAGTGGGTGGTCCGTTTCACCCATGCTCTGCCTGACTCAGCATCAGGAACCCCTAAGGTGGAAGCAGGAAGTACGGGATGCCTGGGCCAGGCTTGGATCAAGAACATCCGTGTCGCTACAGTCCGTGGGAGGCCGGGGTGTTGGGAGGGGATGGGAACAGAGGTGTGCTGGAGCTGGCTCACACCCGCCGGGGAGAGCCAATCGCATACATTTCTTTCCAGCTCCACATTCAGTGATGCCAAGTTGAAGTTGGCCATGGAGGGCTCACACCATGGAAATGGACAGAAACTAAAATCAGAGCTTTTGTTTTCTCCCCAGAGAGTCAGGTATTAAATTGATTAGCCATTGGGCAGGGAAACTGAGTCCCAGAGTGGGGCAGGGATTGCTGAGGGTCACACAGCAAGTTAGTACAGGGCCAGGTCCAGAACTCAAGCCTCCTGCCTCCCAGGCCTGGGCTCTGCTTATTGTAGATGCATCATCTTGAAAGCCAGGAGTGAGGCTCAGGACTGGTGTGCTCTGGGTGTCAGGGGAGTGAGTCTGCATAGCTGCTCCCAGCTCTGAATGTGCCTGGCTCACTGGTCCAACTCTCTCCTTTTTTTACACACCCAGTCCCGCTCGGTCCCAGGCCTTGGGCTTGGGCCCCTGAGGCATGTGAACCATGGGCTGTGCCCTCCCAGAGGTGATGGCTTCATATGCAGAGGATGATAGGATGTGATATGCACTGTAAAGGGGGAGACTGCAGGAAGCCCAGAGGAGGGCACCCCACCCAGCCTGTGGGAAACGGGGTGTGTGTGTATCAGGGAAGGCTTATCGGAAGAGGGGCTGTTGGAGAAATGGAGTCGTCTTAAAGGATGGGCAGTGACAGCCAGTGAAGAAGGGGAGATTGACCAGCGAGGGCAGAGGCTGAGCAGCCAGTGAACTGGGCTGGGCATGTTTGGGGAACTGGGGGCAGCTGGATTTGATACAGCCTGGGGGGTGGGTGGGGTGATGGACTTGGGGAGGGGCAGGACTGGTTTGAATACTGAACCTGTATAGAGAGAGATATGGGGAGGGGTGGGTCACTGGGTTGGTGGGGGTTACGCAGACCCTTGACAGCTGCTGCATGTGTCCAGGGACTAAGGGATAAGGCTGCAGATCAGCCTGTGGGCTCCTTAAAGGCAGGGACTGCGATGACAAGTCCCCATCTCCAGCCCTTGCAGGGTGCTGGGTTGTAGGAGGCGCTAAGGACTTATGGGTGTGTCTCATTCCTCCCACACCCTTCCTGCTTGCCCAGCGAGAACACCGACGCCTGCTGATACGTTTCCAGACGCACCCAAGTCCTGGACACATGCTGGCAGCAGGGGCTGGGGGCCCTTCCTCTGGTGTGGGGAGTCTCACTGCTCCCCTAAGGCAGGGCTGGGCGGCTGGCGCAGCCAGGCGATGTCACGGCTCCTTAGGCCGCAGGGATGGTGTCTGGGACATGGTCCCATCGGGCCCCTCCCACTCTCAGTCCCAGGCCTCACCTGCACTGAGGAGCGGGAGGCCCGGGCCTTGTTGAGCGTACGCCGGCGCTCCCAGCGATGGATGGAGTCCTGCACCTCCACGCTCAGCTGCCGGGTCACCGTGATCTTGTCGTAGTTCTTGATGTGCTCCAGGGCCCCGTAGGTGGTGGTCAGATAGTAGGAACCTGCGTGGACAAGGGTGTGGAACCTGAGCTAGGACGGCCTCCACCCACCAGAGGCAAGGAGCTTGGCCTGCCCCACCCACCTCCTCCAAGCCCCGCCCACCACCACTGCCTGGGTCACCTGCTTCAACAGCTGAGCTCAACTGCACGCCCACCCTCCACTCTCAGAAAGTTTCCTAGAGTTCAGCCCTGAGCTGTCTGGGCCCTGCTCAAAACTTTTCATTGGCTCCCCTTGGGGACAAAACTCTTGCTTATTTAAAAAATGATTTTTAAAACATTAAAAAATTTAAAGGATACACAAGAGACAGAAACAGAATACCTTCAGTGTGGGGAAGGGGGGGTCAGGAGACAGGGTGGGCAGGAGACTTCTCACTGTGTGTGTATCACATATAGATGGTCTGTGAGTTACGATGCTTCCATTTATGATTTTTTGACTTCATGATGGTGTGAAAGCGATATACATTCAGTAGAAACCATGCTTCCAGAACCCATACAACCATCCTGTTTTTTACTTTCAGTACAGTATTCAATACATTACATGAGATATTCAACACTTTATTATAAAATATGCTTTGTGTGAGGTGTTTTTTTTTTTTTTTTTTTTTTTTGACTAAGTCTGGCTCTGTTGCTCTGTCGCCCAGGCTGGAGTGCAGTGGTGCGATCTCGGCTCACTGCAACCTGCACCGCCTGGGTTCAAGTGATTCTCCTGCTTCAGCCTCCCAAGTAGCTGGGATTACAGGTGCCTGCCACCACGCCCAGCTAAGTTTTGTATTTTCAGTAGAGACGGGGGGTTTTGCCATGTTAACCATTTTGGTCTTGAATGCCTGACCTCAGGTGATCCACCCATCTCAGCCTCCCAAAGTGCTGGGATTACAGATGTGAGCCACCACGCCCAGCTTGTGTGATTGATTTTTGACACACACACAATAGGCTTTTTGATGATTTTTGCCCAACTGTAGGCTAATGTAAGTGTTTTGAGAATGTTTAAGGTAGGCTAGTCTATGATGTTCAGTAGGTTAGGTGGATTAAATGCATTTCAACTTAAGATATTTTCAATTTATGGTGGGTTTATTAGGACACCACCTCATTATAAATTAAGGAGCTTTTGATATGCTTTAGAATTTTGAGCCATGTGAATGCATTATCTGTTCTAAAGTAATTTTTAAAAAGATGGAGAGGAAATTTTAATTATGGTTATACCATTACATGCAATTTTTAAAGATTTTAAATAAGTATAAAATTTGAATCATTTATGTATCCATTTCTTAAGTTAATTCACATATAACTCACTGGAGCCTCCAACTCCTGGACTCAAGTGATTGCAGGCTGATTTTTAAATTTTCTGTAGAGAAGGGGTCTAGCTATGTTGCCCAGGCTGGTTTTGAACTTCTGGCCTCAGATGATCCTCCTGCCTTGGCCTCACACAATTCTTAATACACAGTTGTTTCCTAAAGTAATTTAAGCTTTGAGATACTTCAGACTGCAACATTTTCATGAACTTTTAAGATAAAAGGCAATATTTTACACGATGCTTACAAATTCATTCTCCTGAGCTTGTTTGGGACTTTGGTTAAAAGGTTTGAGAAATACTAACTTTGTTAAGCCCCCTCATTCTAGAGAGAGAAAACCGAGTCCAGAGAGGGAAGGTGGCTTGGCCAAGGTCATAGAGAGATCAAGGCCCAGAGGAGGGTGAGGAGACCCTGGATACCCTGGTCTCTCTGGTCTCCAGCGCCGCCCACCTCCATGGTGCTTCCTTGGGCTTTCCTGCCACTGGACAGGCCTTTCTGCCCAGTCCTTCCAGTGCCAGGATGATGATTTTTTTCTTTTTTTTTCTTAGATGGAGTTTTGCTCTTGTTGCCCAGGCTGCAGTGCAATGATGTGATCTTGGCACACTGCAACCTCCGCCTCCCAGGTTCAAGCGATTCTCCTGCCTCAGTCTCCTGAGTAGCTGGGATTACAGGCACACACCACCACGCCCGGCTAACTTTTTGTATTTTTAGTAGACATGGGGTTTCACCATGTTGGCCAGGCTGGTCTTGAACTCCTTACCTCAAGTGATCCACCTGCCTTGGCCTCCCAAAGTGCTGGGATTACAGGCGTGAGCCACCGTGCCTGGCCAGGATGATGATTTTTGACACAAGGCAGATTCTGCTAGTGCCCCACTTAAATCACGTCTCCCCCTTCTACCTAACTGAACTGTGCTTTTATTTGGGGAAGTAACATCAGCTGAAATGCTCACTTCCCAGACTCCCTTGCAGCTTGGGTAGAGGCAGGAGACTCTGCTGTGGCCCCTTAGATGTAAGTGGAAGGCTGGGTGGGGCTTCCAGGAAAGTCTTTGAAAGAGACAGACTCAGTGGATATATCCCTTAGGGTTTTTGCCTGTCACCCTTCCTTCTGCCTGGAACCCAGAGGTAGTGGGGTCACTGCAGCTGTCTTCTGATCAGAGGTGGCAGACACAAAGCCAAAGGCCCACATGCTAAGGAAAGATGGAAAGAGCTGGGTCCATAGTTCCCTGGATGCAAAATGCCATCCTTACCAGGTGCTTAGCCTGGACTTCTTGATGCAAGAGACAAACCAATTCCTTGCTCTGACTTAAGCCACTATTAGTTACTTTTGTGAGTTACGTGCAGCCCAAAGCATTCCTAACTGGTACACTGGGTGAAGCTGGCCCACACATCTGCACCAATTCTACAGCCAATATGGGACAAGTTCACACCCCAGTTCAGTAGGTGGTAAGTGGGGGGGTAAGATAAAAGGGTTTATGGCCACAGGATCACCCATCCTTTCATAGCAGCATAGAAAAGAGATGGCTGGGCGCAGTGGCTCACGCCTGTAATCTCAGTACTTTGGGAGGCCGAGGCAGGTGGATCACTTGAGGTTAGGAGTTCCAGACCAGGCTGGCCAACATGATGAAACCCTGTCTCTACCAAAAGTACAAAAATTAGCTGGGCATGGTGGCGCCTGCCTGTAATCCCAGCTACTCTGGAGGCTGAGACAGGGGAATCGCTTGAACCTGAGAGATGGAAGTTGCAGAGAGCCGAGATCATGCCATTGCACTCCAGCCTGGGTGACAGAGTGAGATTCCATCTCAAACTTAAAAAAAAAAAATAAATAAGAGACATTTTTGAAAAAACTAAATTAAAGCTACCATGGAGGTTGGCTTGGTGTCCCTAATAAGAAGAACCACTAAACTACTTATTTATCTCCATTTTAAGTTGGGTTTAAAGCCCCAGGCCAGGAAGTCAGCTCTGGTGCCCCCAGCCCTAGCTGCGCCGAGTCCATGTCCTCTACCTGGCATCCCTCAGTCGTCCTGTTTCCTGTCTGGCTTATGTCTTCCTGGCTGGGAATGGAGAGGTGAGTGCAGTGTGCTGACTGTAAACCTTCAGTTTTGGAGTCAGAGAACAGGATCTAGGTCTTTGTACCGTAGCAGCCAGCCCTGTAATTCAGGTGAGCTAATGGTCTCTCTATGCCTCAGTTTCCTCATCTGCAAATGCCATAACGTTGTGAAAAGGAAATGATTATGTGTGAAGTACAGGGCCTCGGAATGCGTGAATAACGCATGGTGGCTATGAGGCCTCAGGGAGGTGCTCTGGGGGCGTCTCATCCTCATGGGTGAAAGGGGAGCAGCCAAGCCCTGCTGCTGCACGTTTTCCTGCTGGACCCCGGCTTCTTTGTGAGGCCGCTCTCTCTGCCAACTTCCCTCTTTGACTCGGGGCCATGAAATGCCTGCCAGGACCACTAGGTGGCAGGCGGCCCCACCGTGAGTTTTGGAGCAGGCTGTTCTCTCCGGGGCGAATGCATTGATTAGAAAAACCCACTGCCCCTGGAAAGATACCAGCCTGGCATGGCCAGCTCTCAGGCAGACTAGGGAAGGGACATGGGCAAAGGGGGCCATGAGGGCACTTTTGGGACCAGCCTGGCCAGGATTTTAGGAGAGGCTAGGATTCTGGGCTGGCTCCAGCCAGGTGCCCAGCAGCTGCCTGGGTCACCTGTCTGCCCCATGACTTCACGGGGGCAGGGGGTTGGGGGAGTGGGAACACAAGAGAGAGGCTAGAAAGGGGGCAGGGGTCCCAGCAAGCCGGCACTCAGGCCCTTCCTTGCACAAGTCCCTGATGTCTCCTGCCCCAGATGCCTGCTGCAAGGAAAGTGGGATCCTTTTGCTAAACTGCAGCACATGGAACAGGCTGAGAGAATTTGAAGGTCCCAAGGTGCACAGAATCCGACTTGCAGGCTTTCTGTTGAACACAGAATGGCTTGCTCACCTGAACTGCGAAACACAGGAAGACAGGGCCCAGCTCCATCTCTCATCCTGCCCCATGTGCTAAGGTCTGAATGTTCGGGTCCCCCTACCCCCAAATCCTATGTTGAAATCCTAACCTCCAATGTGATGGTGTTAGGAGGTGGGGCCTTTGGGAGGTCATTAGGTCATGAGGGTGGAGCCCTCATAAATGGGATTAGTGCCCTTATAGAAGAAGTGCCAGCTGGGCATGGTGGCTCACACCTGTAATCCTAGCACTTTGGGAGGCTGAGGCAGGCAGATCACTTGAGATCAGGAGTTCGAGACCAGCCTGGCCAACATGGTGAAGCCCTGTCTGTACTGAAAATACAAAAATTAGCCAGGTATGGTGGCATGGGCCTATAAGCCCAGCTACTTGGGAGGCTGAGGCCGGTGAATTGCTTGACCCTGGGAGGCAGAGGTTGCAGTGAGCCAAGATTACAGCACTGCACTCCTGTCCGGGTGACAGACAGAGACTCTGTCTCAAAAAAAAAAAAAAAAAGTACCAGAGAGCTGCCTTGTCCCTTCTGCCATGTGAAGATACAACAAGAACCCACCATCTATGAGCCAGAAACTGGGGTTCTCACCAGATACTGAGTCTGCTGGTGCCTTGATCTTGGACTTCCCAGCCTCCAGAACTGAGAGACATACATTTCCATGGTTCCAGAGTTACCCAGTTTATGGTATTTTATTAAGCATCCCAAACAAACTAACACCCAGCCACCTCTGCAGAATACAAGAGCACCCAGACAGTTTGAAAACTACCAATCTAGCCTGATGTCTTCACTTCCGCGAGCCAGAGAGGTTAGGTGACTTGCCCAGGGTTTCCAGTCAGTCAGAGGCAGAACTGAGCCCCAAATCCAGCCTCCAGACTGCTCTTTTTACTCCACTTTGTGTTAGTTCTCTCAGATTCTAGCAACTTAAGTTCCCAAGAGTCTGGGGATTCTGGGAACCCCCATCTCCCACCCTAAACATCTCCGAGCTCTGTCAGGGCTCAGGCTTCCTCCCAACCTGCACTGCAGAGGTTGAGGCAATCAGGTACCTCTGCATCACCACCCCACTAAGCCAGGAGGGCTAAGCCAGGGAAACTCAGAAACACCACCTCACCCGTGCCCCTCTGCCCTGGGACCCAGATCCATTGAGATGAAGGGTCCAGGCTGTTGAAAGGTGGAAACCCCTGCCCTCGCTGGAGAGCCCCAAGGTCATCTCGATGCCACAGGTAAACGCCTGCAAGGCTGGCTGTCCTAGGTGCTGTACCTCCCACACCCTGATTATTGAAGTAGGGCAGAGAGAGGTGCAGGGATGTGTCCGTGCCACGCCGCTCCCCCCAACCCTGGTGGTGTGCACAGTGTGGTGTGGGTTTGTCCTCTGGCCCTTGGAGCTGCCATGGGTAAGGTGTGACACTGCCCTGGTCAGAGAGGGCTGCCAGGAGGGACACTGTGCCCCCTGCCCTCCCTATGGGGCCAGAGGTGGGGTGGAGGACTCTGCCTACTCAAGTCTGGCAAAAGGGCTGGATGCAGGGCATGCAGGCAGCCTTGGTCAGGAACTATTTAGGACCTTTATGAACTTTCTTCGTACTTTGACTTGTCCTCCAAATACTTGAAGTAGCCCAGAATTGACATGCTGTCAGGTCTCAAGAACTTCTCTCTTTCTCACCCAAATCCCCTAGGCTTCTGGGAACAGGAAGAAGGATCCCAGGAGGCCATGGCAGGATTGGGGTGGGTGATGCAAGTCCATAGGAGAGGGCTGCTAGCCCAAGGATGTCCCTGCCCTTTTCCTGCTCAGCAACCGTCCCTGTGGTTCTTCTGTGTGCATGCTGAGAGCTTCCCTTCCTTGGGGAAACCAAGGAAGAAGGCCCACAAGGGCCTGATGAGGTAGAAGTCCCAAAGTGTGGGATGCAGAATGAAGCATTAATTCATTCACACAAGGCTATCAGCCTTACTTGTCTTGTTCTACACCACAGCCCATGTGTCTGGCATGGATAAATGGGTGGGTGGATGAGTGGAGGGGTAGATGGGTGAGTGGATGGGTAGATGGATGGATGGATGGTAGATGAATGGGTGGGTGATTGGGTAGGTGGGTGGATGGGTAGATGAATATGTGGAGGGTGGGCAAATATGTGGATGGGTGGGTGAGTGAATATGTGGGTGGGTGGGTGAATATGTGGGTGGGTGGGTGGATGGTAGGTGGATGGGTAGATGAATATGTGGATGGGTGGATGAGTATGTGGAGGGTGGGCGAATATGTGGATGGGTGGGTGAGTGAATAAGTGGATGGGTAGGTGGATGGATAGATGGATATGTGGATGGGTAGATGAATATGTGGGTGGGTGGGCAAATATGTGGATGGGCAGATGGGTGGGTGCATGGATGGATGGATGGATAGGTAGATGGGTGGGTGGTTAGGTGGATGAGTGGATGCATGGATGGATGGGTGCATGAATGGGTGGGTGGGTGGGTGGATGGATGGATGGATGGGTAGATGGTTATGTGGATGGCTGGGTGAATACATGGATGGGTAGATGAGTGTATAGATGGATGGATGGATGGATGGATGGATGGATGGATGGATGGATAGGTGGGTAGGTGGATGGGTGAATGGATGGATGGATGGATGATGGATGGGTGGATGGATGGATGGATGGATGGGTGGATGGGTGGGTGGTTAGGTAGGTGAGTGGATGCATGGATGGATGGGTGCATGAATGGGTGGGTGGATGGATGGATGGATGGATGGGTAGACGGTTATGTGGATGACTGGGTGAATACATGGATGGGTAGATGAGTGTATAGATGGATGGATGGTTGGATAGGTGGGTAGGTGGACGGGTGAATGGATGGATGGATGACGGATGGGTGGGTGGATGGATGGATGGGTGGATGGGCAGATGGATATGTAGATGGCTGGGTGAATATGTGGATGAGTGCATAGATGGATGGATGGATGGATGGATGGATAGATGGATGGATAGGTTAATGGATGGATGGATGACGGATGGGTGGGTGGATGGATGGATGGGTGGATGGGTAGATGGTATGTGGATGGGTGGATGAATATGTGGATGGGTGAGTGAATATGTGGATGGGTGGGTGGGTGAATATGTGGATGGGTAGGTGGTTCGATGAGTAGATGGATGCATGGATAGATGATGGGATGATGGATGGGTGGATGGATGGATAGTTGGATAGATGGAGAGGTGGGTGAGTCGGTAGATGGGTGGGTGGTTGGGTGGATGAGTGGATGCATGGATGGATGGGTAGGTGAATGGGTGGATGGATGACCATATGGATGGACAGATGAATAGATGGATGGATAGATGGCTACACTGGGCAGCAGATAACCATTGCTGAAGAAACCTTGGCTTCTCTTGAATTCCTGGACCTCCTGGAAGATAACTTGTTCCCATTATAGGACATTTTTAACCACAGAGAAAAAAAAAGTAGATATAGAGGTCCCAGTGCCACAAGCCAAAGTTATATATGACAGTGAACATCATGGCTTTAACATGCTCCCCTGAGCTGTCAACAACTCACAGAACTATCTCATCAAACTATCACCCCAGAGACTGGAACATGCAAAAAAAATGCAAACAGATGCAAAGAGTGTCTGCTCATCTCAAGAACCACAAAGCCCAAGGGGGACCCTCAGGGCCTGGGAGGATGGTTCCCTCCTTTGAGGCTGATGTCTCAGAGGGGAAGTCAGGGCTCTGTCAGAGCTGATATCTGGACTGGCTGCCCCTCAGGAAATTCTTGGTGGATGGGTGGCTGAGGCTAAGTGGGTGGAAGGATGTGGTGGGAAGGGGGAAAGGGGAAGGGAAACTGAGCATGGGGTGGACCAAACCACATCTCTGCCTTCATCCTATTGGGGAGTGCAGGGCTTCTTACTCATATCATTAACTTCCCACTGACGGAGGTCCTGACCCAGGGCTTATGAGCAAGGGGCCGAGAGTCCCTGGGGGTCACCCCTGTCTAAGAACCAATTGTCACTGTCTCTCAGACTCTTACTGTGAGCACTGCCTGCCACTTCAGCCACTTCTTTTACACTACTATCTCCTGCTGTTCCTGCTACAAAGACTGCCTTTCCCCCTTTTTTTAATCAGCTGCCTGTATTTTTCTTTCATTGCTCAGCTCAGATGTCACCTCCTCCAGGAAGCCTCCCCTGACTGCACAGTCTGGGTAACATGCTCCTATGCCTTCTGGGATTCCAACTATTCCAGCACTTGTTACGTGGAGGTGGCACAGTCTCTTCACTGGCTCATCTCTCCCCCTAATCTGTGAGCTCCCGCAGGACAGGACCTGTGTAGGATTCACATTTGCATCCATGGGTCCAGAGTTCAGCAGGAGTCTGGTATCCAGGAGGTGCTTGTTGGACCACTAGAGTGCCCGTGGTATGGCTGAGTTGGGGGTGTGCAATGCACCTGATGGGCAGGGGGTGGTGACTCACCCTCCCCCAGCTGCAGGGCGGGGTCCATGAGCTCCATCATGTACTCCACATTGAGAAGCATCTCTGTGAGGTTGCTGCGGGCCAGCACATACATGAGCACAGGCAGGAAGTCATCCGCCCCATAGGGCTTCCCTGGGAAGAAGAAGGAGGCAGAGGGAGATGAGTTCCAGGCTCTCCTTGTGAGATGCTCTCTGCCCAGGGTAGGGGACAGTGGTTTGCTGAGTGTGGATGGCGATCCCTGGAAGAGGAATGCTCCTGCTCTCATGACAGAGAGGACCCAGGGAGCAGCCTCCTCGGGAGGCCTGAGAAACAGTCCAGGTTTAGGAAGAAGGAACTGAGAAAGTGCCCTCGGCTGGGAGGAGCAAGACCCTGACCCCTTCCCCTTTCCTAGTCCTCCCTCTCCATGACCACCCCTTGCCGCTTGCTTGACAGTCAAATTCACATCACATTTATTTGCAGACCCACCCAGAAGCATTTATGGCTCCTGGCAAGGTTCCCTGTCCCCACTAATCACACATGTCCCTCCCACCTGCGAAACAGAAACCTCTTCCTCACCCAGACACTACGAGACCTGAAATGTCACCATTCAGCCTTCTTCCTTTTTTGGGTTAAACAGTGCCCTTTCCTAAGGCCTTCTTTTAACATGTAAAGACCCCTGGAAGTATCATCTCATCACTACTGCCTTTGAAGGAGATGTTCACAGATCTCAGAGCATCCTGACAGCAACAGACACCTTGCGCGGCAGATGGAAGGCGCTCTATAAAGGAACAGTGGCAGAAAGCAGGGTGGAAGGTGGGTCTGAAAGGCGTCTCCCCAGTGTGGCTCCCGGCTGGCTCTGAAGATTGCCTATTTGGCAATGCAAAGCCCAAGGCTGGAACTGTGGGTGGAGAATTCTGACCAGAATAGAATCTTCCTGCAGGTCCTTGGCTGATCTTCTAGCCAGACTCTGCAAGTGCACTGGAGAAATGAAGCTTGGGTGAGCAGTTCTGCATGGTGGGAATGGCCATGCCTGGTCCCCAGCCCACCTTCTCACTTCCTCTAACCAAATGGAGTCCAGGGCTCAGACAAAGGTCTTCAGACTCAGCTGGGGGTTACCAGGTCTGGATGTGAGCCCCAGAATAACCCATGCCAGTGCTGCTACCTTTGTGTTTTGGGTGAGATTAATAATCCATCCAAGCACATGCTAAGCAATTTATAGCTCTCGCAAAAAGTGTATTTCTACTTGACATGTTTACAAAGGATTTAGGGGACCATCAGGAAATATACCTGATAAAACAGCAACATCTCAATCAAAATTTGAAAACCATCAGGACAAATATAAATTACCAGAGAGATGGTACTATAGGAAACATAAAAATACAAATAAGCAAGAACCTACACAACTACTCTTTTACAGCAGCAAATTTGGCTTTGAGTTTCCTGCTGGCCAAAGCAAAGAGGGAAAACACAATCAGTTATATTCTCACTGTCCATGAAGAAAAAAATATACCTATTTCTTGGGGGAATCAAATTATTTTTCTAACTCTTAGCTCTAAAATAAAATTTTCACATGTGGCTTCATCTGGGGACATGGAGAGACATGACTGGCAAGTTCCTATCGCACACACGGATGTTTGACTGGTGATGGTCCTCCCATTGTGTCAGGTGTGGCTCATGGCAAGCACTTCCACGGCAGGAAGCAACTTTTCTTTTCCCTTTTTTTTTTTTGAGACATCGTTTCGCTCTTGTCGCCCAGGCTGGAGTGCAGTGGTGCCATCTCGGCTCACTGCAACCTCCACCTCCCGGGTTCAAGCGATTCTCCTGCCTCAGCCTCCCGAGTAGCTGGGATTACAGGCGTGCGCTGCCATACCCAGCTAATTTTTGTATTTTTAGTAGAGACGGGTTTTCACCATGTTGGCCAGGCTGGTCTGGAACTCCTGACCTCAAGTGATCCACCTGCCTCAGCCTCCTAAAGTGCTGGGATTACAGGTGTGAGCCACGGCACCCGGCCTTTGAGACAGGGTTTCACTCTGTTGCCCAGGCTGGAGTATAGTGGCTTAATATCAGCTCACTTGCAACCTCGACTTCCTGAGCTCAAGCAATCTTCCCACCTCAGCCTCCTGAGTAGCTGGGACTACAGGCACATACCACCACGCTCAGCTAATTTTTGTATGTATGTATTTTTTTGTAGAGATGGGGTTTTGCCATGTTGCCCAGGTTGTCAAATTTCATAGTGAATTCTGCACATTCACATCTGTCCTTGTAACAATGAGGCTGCCCGCTCCCTGAATAAAATACTTCAGAGAGCTAAAGTGACCCTCCTGGGCAACTGCACGCTACACTGCTGAGAGGCACAGTGTGAAGGCCGAGTCTCCAAGCCCAGACCTGGGTTCAAATCCCAGTTCTCCTACTCACCAGCTGTGGACTATAGCAAGCTCCTTCCCTCCTCTCACCTCAGCAGGGAGGTTGGAGAACGAGGTGCCCGAGGATTTTTGAGGATTAATTGAAATGGTGCAGGTGGTCACAGCCATAGCAAAGCCCGAGGCAAAAGGAAAACTGTGTGCCCCATATGTGTTTATCAAAACAGCCTCTCATAGTTTGAACCAGGTGGAAAAAGTTAACAAACGTGCTATACTCAAGAAACAACGACTGTATCTAAAATCTGGTTGCCAATATGTTCGCTTTCTACTGTCAGCCATCACAAAAGTATGTGGGCCTGGAAACCGCAGGCTGATTGGAAATGACTGTTCCCATCGCACAGTAACGCAGGATCATAAAACAGACAACAGCCTGACTTCACTGAAAATGTGGCGGCCAGGCGTGGTAGCTCATGCCTGTAATTCCACGACTCTGGGAGGCCCAGGCAGGCGGATCACCTGAGGTCAGGAGTTTGAGACCAACCTGGCCAATGTGGGGAAACGCCATCTCTATTAAAAATACAAAAATTAGCAAGGCATGGCGGCGTAAGCCTGTAATCCCAGCTACTCCGGAGTCTGAGGCACGAGAATCACTTGAACCTGGGAGGCGGAGGTTGCAGTGAGCCAAGATTGTGCCACTGTACTCCAGCCTGGGCAACAAAGTGAAACTCTGTCTCTAAAAAAAGGTGGATATTTTGTTCATCATGGCTTTTTCATTAATTTTTATTTTTTTAAAAAAAATACTGCATTAAAATAGTACTTATCTTGTCACATGAGCCCAAGTTCCACTCCTAGTTATATATACACCTGAGAGAAACAAAAACATATTTCCACACAGAGACCTGCACACAAATGTTCATGGCAGTATTGGCCATAATAGCCAAGAAGTGGAGATGGCTACTTGTCCATCACTTGTGGATACACAGGCAAAATGTGCATGCATACCATGGAAGTCTTTGGGAATGAAAAGGAACAAGCTACTCATACATGCTCTGATACTGATATTTGTTCATTTTTTTGAGACCGGGTTATGAGACTGGCTATTTTTTTTTTCTTTTTGTATTTTTGTTAGAGACAGGGTTTTGCCATGTTGCCCAGGCTGGTCTCGAAGTCCTGGGCTCAATGATCCACCGGCCTCGTCCTCTCAAAGCGCTGGATTAAAGGCGTGAGCCACCACGCCTGGCCGCTGTGATATTGATAGACCGTGATGATACTATGCTAAGTGGAAGAAGTCAGCCATGGAAGACTGCATATTGTACGTATGATAGGATTCCATCTGTATGCAACGTCCAGAATAAGCAAATCCACAGAGACAGAAAGCAGATGAGTGGTTGCCTGGAGTTGGGCAGAAAAGAGAACAGGGAGTGATTTTTAATGGGTACAGTTTCTTTTTGGGGTGATAAAAATGTTTTGGAATTGGAGTAGTTTTAGTCATATGACCTTGCAAATATACTGAAAACCACTGAATTGTTTTAAAAATTATGTGTATATATACATACACACACATATATATAAAATTTATCTTTGTGGTTGAGTTTCTTGGGCATCCCCCTGCATTTTGCCCCTAAGGCAAGTGTCTCCCTCACTTCCCACAAACCCTGGCCCTGCAGGTAATACTTAGGGCAGAGGCTGGCACAAAATGAGGACTTGGTCAAGGACCGCCAGTATGAGTGGGTACAGGTGTGGGCCCTGCACACAGGGAGACAGAAGACGTGAGTCAGAGGTGGTTCCTGCCCTTAGGACCCTCCCAGGCTGAAGCCCATGGTCTGGCCAGGGGTTGTGATTTCAGGGTCACATTCAGCTGACCAGGGGGGTCTTGTATTCCTTGCCTGCGCAGTCTGTTCTAGCCTGGTGTTAGCACCGGAGACTAGTGGTTGCTTTCCTTCCTTCTGCATTGTCCAGTCTCTATTTTCTTTTTCTTTTCTGTAGATGGGGTCTCACTCTTGTCGCCCAGACTGGAGTGCAGTGGTGCGATCTCGGCTCACTGCAACCTTCGCCTCCCAGGTTCAGGCGATTCTCTCATCTCAGCCTCCTGACTAGCTGGGATTATAGGTGCTCACCACCACGCCTGGCTACTTTTTTTTTTTTTTAAGTAGAGATGGGATTTTGCCATGTTGGCCAGGCTGGTCTCGAACTCCTGACCTCAAGTGATCCACTCGCCTCAGCTTCCCAAAGTGCTGAGCTTACAGGCATAAGCCACCGCACACTTGGCTCCAGTCTCTATTTTCAAAGTAACAGAACTCCTGACTTTTAGCCAGGATAAGGCCACCCCAAATAAAGACTCCATTTCCCATCTTCCTGCATAGCCTGGGCCGCCTCGTCTCTTAAGTCCTGGCTCCTGCAGTATACCACTGCAACCATGGAGGCCTCCAGTCGTTTTTGTCTAGTGAATGTGGATTCTGCTCATGGCCCATCCTTGGTTAATTTTTTAGACAATGCGGCCCCGTGTGACCTGCCTTTCTGGCCACACTCTCTTTCTACATCTGCAAAATGGGCCAGCAACTGGGATGCAGAGGACACCCCAAATGTCCACAGGGCCACAGGTGAGAAACCCTGCTTGAGGAAGTAATGACTTTCAGCCAAAGGATGGCCCAACTGGGGCCCTAGGTCTGAGGACTTCAGGGCGGGCCATGTGAGTATGAAGGGGACAGGAAGGGAGGGGGCCCAGGATTGTGGCTTTGTACTCCCTGGCTATGGAAGGTCCTTTACCCGCTCTTCTTCCCATGTTTTCCTTGA